GTCGCGATGTTGCAGCAGACATTCGCGTCTCACTTCATGTCACATGACACGATGTTGTAGCAGACATTCACGTCTCACTTCAGGTCACATGACACGATGTTGCAGCAGACATTCGTGTCTCACTTCAGGTCACATGACACGATGTTGAAGCAGACATTCACGTCTCACTTCAGGTCACATGACACGATGTTGAAGCAGACATTCACGTCTCACTTCAGGTCACATGACACGATGTTGTTACGAATATCCGTACGACTTCAGTATATCCGTACGAATATCTGTACGACTTTACTTGCATGTCCCGACAGCGTCGGAACATGCAAAGATTACGGTCATCCATATGAATGATATTAGTCGTCAAAGTCTTTCTTATATGATTTTTAATTTATATGCTCAATATTAATATTTATAAATTAGCGAAACACTTTGAAAGAGAGCCAAAATTTTGAGCCAAACTTGTAAATTTCTAGTGCGACTTACAAGTTTCCGCTGCGATTTGCAGTGTAAAATTTTCAAAAATTAAATAAAAAAGTAAGAACTACACTGTTAGAAAAAACGGTGAAAAAACGGACCCACTGGCGTTCTAGTGGCCGGTCGCCCCGTAAAAATAAACTGTTTCGCCGTTTTTATCAGATGTTCTACGGATTTTTAGTGTTAAATTAGAATAAAAACGGCGACACGGTGTTTCTTTTCACGTGCCGACCGGTCACTGAAACGCCGGGAAAAACCTTTAACGGTAATTTTTCTAACAGTGTACGCACGAAATTTCGAAAATAATTTTAGACCGTGTAGATTGCGTCGAATGAGTTTTATGATCGTCTGATTAGCAGGGCCCCTTAATCAGGTCCTTGATTATCCTCGCCAATGAAGAGAAAAATTGCGGCTACGAGTAATATTTGGCCCAAGGAAGCACGTGTTCTCCCTCGTCATCTTTTAGGATAATTTCGTTGATAAGAGAATGTTTAACGTACAACTGAGATCATCATTAAAATGGTACTTGAAACTGAAGGCTAGTACACTTGATTTGTTATAATTGACGAGAGAATAGTTAAAGATTTATAACAGTATAACAGAATAACGGTTTAAAACGCGAAAGGTAAGAAGAGAATTCTGTCTAGAATTTACAGCTTAGGAAAAAGCAGCAGAAATTTTCTATCTCATATCGTTAATCACTTTTAATGCAGACTAGAGAATATCTTTACAATGAAAAAATGATTTATACCGTTCTTAGTGTATGTCACTAGAACAAACTTCTAACTGGCTGCGGTTCACAAAAAAAATTAAAAGCGTATTCACAATCAATGCAATCCAGTCACTCTTCCTTCCATCGCGTAGTCATGGCTCATTGCAATGAAAAATGGCAACTCTTTACCAACATTACGCAGATTTTTTGATCATTTAATGGAACATTCATAATATATCCCATTCAATTAGTTACTTGATGTCATTGGAGATTAGATGACTTTTGGGGGAACAATTGATATCAGATAATATCAATGCTTCCTTCAGCACGTGAAAAGCAACACCAATCCATAAATTACTTCATTAACATCAATCTAAATTCAACAGGACATGGAGAAGCCAAATGAATTATTCAATTCATTACAAATGATTTCAACTTGCACCTATGAAGGATATTATTTTGAAAGGAATAAATTTCGGTGCACGATTCATTCCTGCTACCTGTCTTTCGAACGTCGCGTCAACGGCGATATTCGTTACTGCCTAAGGGTACGCACACAGTGGAAGCAGGTTTGTCCGCGCGGGCAACCTGCTCCAACCTGCCACAAGAATGAACATAGGATAATAATGTAAGTGTTCACAGTGAAAACCTGTACGAATAGGCTTCTGTATTCTATGGTTTCAGGCGCCAGCCTGAGCAGGTAACCAGCATGCTGGCAACCTGCTTTCACTGTGTGCGTACCCTAACATTGGGGCCGTGCTTCCGATATCGGTATACATTGAATTCTTTTGTCACTTCTTCAAACCCGAGGCAAATTGAGGAATTTTCAGAAGGGGTTATTCATCTTTAGGTTGAGAGCATGAGCATTTGAATATCCTGAACATCATTACAATTTGCACATTAAGTTTCATAAAAATAAATCGGTAAATATAAATCGCTTGAAAAATTTAATCAAATAAATATATAATAAATAAATTGATATAAATTCTTATAAATTATTCGTTTCCACGGTAAGATTTTGTCCTTCTGTATGTCCACTAAAACCGACCAACGCAGTACACTTCCTCTACTCAGCACTCTTTCTTCCCTTTTATTTTCATATTTATTTATTATTTATTATTATTTATTTATTATTTTTATATTTATTTATTATATATTCCCAATAATATAAGGAGTCGATGAGACGTTGATCTCAAAAGACGATTTCTTACAAATTTTCAAAATTCAGATCAAGTAAATTTCATAACGTCCAAATAAGTTGAAATCAGATGCGAACTCCATGAAAATTGAAATTAAAAAATTTGGGGAGGCAAAATTTTAAATTAAATTCGGGAGGCAAATTTTCAATTAGTATATAAAAAATCCATGGCTCAATATTTCAAACCCTTGAGGGTTTCGTAATACATGACAGGTATGTCACGATGCATTCTTGTTAAATATATGAAAAAAGGAATTAATTCACATGCAGTTTTTAATTGAAACGTAATTGAATAGCAAAAAAAAAGAATAAGAAATTCATGCTTTGCAAATTAGGAAATAGAATGAAGAACTAATGCTTTATAGAATAAATTAAAAAAAAAAATGACACATGAAGACATGGAATACTTGTACATATATATTACATAAAGACTTCAGACTAATGTACGAATAATGTTGGGTTTGCACAATGTAAAATGCAAATGTACGAATATTATTGGGTTTGCACAATATTACGAAATATAATATAGAACAATTTTGGCAACATATAAGCATGGTCACGGTGTGTTGTTGTCACTTTAAGATACTTGATTGTAGTTTTTGATAAAATTTAATTTCATTTCCGTTGCTAGAATGCAGGTAATTTGTTCATATTTTATTTCTTATAAAAGAGCTTTTAGAATGAATTATTTTTTAGACAGCTGAAATTGATCATATATTACGATATGAACTGTACAGTACATTTGTTCAGATTTCCAATAAAAGGTCTCATATGTAAGTAAATTGACTTTTACAAAACGTGCCATTATCTCATTATCTAATTAAATCTCATAACTTAATGTGTAAGTGTTATCTTACAAGTAACATAGGCTACATAGCTACATAGTAAAAAGCTAATTCTTTGTAGGTATGTTTAATATAACATAATATAATGATGTCGGCGCTGAAATGTAGGCCTGATGTGGCCTGTCGCCGATTCTTTTCCTTTTCGTGCCTTGTTCATAGATCTAAACTCGTATCATTTGACCGGATCTTTTCATGACTGGCGATAGTTTGAAGAAGCTACTAGACTTCCACCAGGTTCGATAAGGAGCTAGGCATTTCAAATCTGAACATATATTTTTCCATAGCTTTATCTAGTCTTCCTGGTGTTGGTTCTTGTTTCAAATTCTAGTAACCCTTCAGGGACCTTGTATAGACCATGAGTATACTTGTATACTTCAATGAGGTCCCCACGCAGACGTCGATAACTGAGGCTTGGAAGCTTCATAATCTTCAATCTTTCTTCATAGGACTTGCCCTTCAAGCCTGGAATTAGTCACATAACGTTTTATAAAAAATCCTATTCAATTCCATGTTGAATTCTGATTTGCGATAGTTGACGATTTCAAGTATAAATAAGTTCTAATTAGGTTTCTTGATTAAAATCTAACGAATAACTCATTGCGGGCGATATTTAAGGAACGCGTGTAGAATCAAATTGGCTTTTGATCACGTTGAATTATTATAACAATTGGGTATTTAAAGAAATTATGTCAATTGGAAACAGAAGCAGACTTGATTCTATCTTAGATAATAATGATAGCATCGTGAGCATTGTAACAAATGATTCTAATGAATAATATCAAAGTGTTATATAATCATGTAGCATCCAACGATTTTAGTTTTTCGATCTGTGTAGATTGTATTATTGATGCCATTTAGTTACCCATATACTTTTTCTATGATGAGCATGCGGAAGAACGTGAATTTTGTGGTAGACTATTTCTCTTTAGCAGCTCCAAATGCCCGCAGAATAAGTTACAAGTAACAGTGAATAAAACAGCTGTTGAATTTAAATCTAAAACTTTAATAGTACCGGTTAAAGAAATTGATCAAATTTTGGCAAATTTCGGCCAAAAGATAGAATGTATTTTTCCATCTTAAATTATGCTAAAAAGTTGTCTTTAATAATATAAATAATACTCATCTTAAAACAACTGAAATGTGAAATTAAGTTTTTATTATTTTGTGCCCCAATCCCGCTCTGTATATTTATTATTATTATTATTACATATTTTTTCGATTGTTCGCCTAAGCCCAGTTTTACAAATAGTTTACCAATATTCGAAGGTTTTTTTTTGTGATAGTCATCATTCTAAAATGAAAATGTAGTTGAACAAATATTTTTTGCTGCCTACTGACTAAAACTGAGAGTAAAAAATTTTGATATTGAGTCCTATCGTTCATCAAGATAAGTAATAATTAATTTTTTAACAATAATAATTCATTTCTTAACAATAATAATTCATTTTTTTCGAAATTTAGACCCCTGATTTCGCTGTCAGGAGCCAAAATCTAGACCTGCATGAAGGCTATGCTTCGTTCATGTCTCGCCTACGAAGGCACTGAATTTCTGAATAACAAAAGAAAATTCTGGTACGTTCTAAAAAAAGAAGAAATTATTAACCCAACCGCCCATAAAAAGTATCTAATTGAAGGCATTGAAAGTTATCATTCATTATTAAAAAAATAACATTCTTTTACCCCAAGGACCCGGCTTCCTACGTGAACGACACCAGTTCCACCAATAAAAACCCATCTCAACTCTTTACCTTTCCTTAGAATATACATGAAAACCATGGAAGAATCCACTGATAACAATAATTCATCTTCTGTGTCGTCTGATAAAGTAGAAATTTATCACGCAAACCAGTCGCCCTACTGGCCAACAGTTGCCTTATCACAGTCTGACCAGACCGTACCGTTCTCTGCCACGGCCGACACGGGCCCAGATGACGGCGTGGGGCCGGCCGTGGCCGCTCTCTTCATCGTGGCTGAGATCGCCGGCGCTGGTATCCTGAATCTGCCATACGCCGTCGCTGAAACTGGTAATTTTAAATGATGAATTAATAATTTAATATAATATTATATTATATTATAATTAATAATATTATAATAATCAATTTAGGTTAAGATTAATGAACTAAACTTCCACCAGAATAATCTGATATTATAATGATCATGTTAACGAACAGCATTTAAGTACGTCCACTTCAAATGTTTATTAACCTAAATAACAAATTGAAGAAACCGACTAAAAAAATACTATTGAGGATAATTAATAGAGAATTTTTTGAGAGAAAAATTAAAGTATTTCACAACCAGTTGAATATTGGCAAATGAGAATCCAAGTCAGGAAAAATGGCACATAAGTCAAAAATTCTAATGGGAATTACATTTTCAATAAGAAAGGTGAAGTTTATCAATTTTCTGTATATATTAGTTCGGTAACTTGAAGGCCCAAAAAATATTAAAATATTTCAAAATTCAGTAACTTAGACGTAACAAAGGTTTTAAGAAAACAACTTTGGATTGAACATTGATTTTGATACATGGCGACTTGCTGTTAAATATTACCCCTGGGATGTGAGTTGAAACAATCACTGGAAATATCAGATAATATATCGTGTGAGCCGCATGATGCAGGGTCTATTAATGGAAACGTTCGACATGACTTTTTATGAAGTGAAACCAAATCTGTTAGAATTGTATGGGAACTTTTTTACGGCGTCGGTAATGGGACTATATAAATAATTTACTCCAACTGGTAATTTGAATTGGTAGTCACTCTTTGAATTGCATATTTTTTCATCTTCTATTAGAAAAATAATTGGATATTTTTTATGAAAATATTACGTGAGCGGGCAGATATTCTTTTCTTATCGGTCTAATCAGAGCGTCTCAATCAAGATATGCTCCTTAATTCGGTTTACAAGACAATTACGCTCTTCACTTTTCCTCTCAAAATTTCTTTTTTTAGCAGAATTAATTTTCTATAGGAAATTAATTCTGAGAAAATTAGAGTAAAAATTTGTGAAAGAAAAAATTTTTGAGGGAAAAAATTTTTTGATAGAAAAAATTAGAGAATATTTTTTTCATAGGTTGGTCTGGACTCGCATTGCTGATCGTTCTGGCGGTGATGGTGACGTTCTCTGGGACGCGGTTAAGCCAGAGTTGGTTGATACTGGAGCAGCTGTGGCCGCAGTACCGAACTGTCAACCGAGCTCCGTATCAGAACATCGCCTATCGCGCTTTCGGAAAATGGTGCATGTGAGTATTGTAATTTTTCGTTGATTCTGTTGTTCATTATTGTACACTGTACCTTTATTCTCTTACATTTTTAGCGAACCGAGCTCCGTACCAGAACATCGCCTATCGCGCTTTCGGGAAATGGTGTATGTGAGTATTGTAATTTTTCGTTGAGTCCGTTGTTCATTACCTTTATTCTTTTACATTTTTAGCACATATTGCATGGCAATCTCGCGGTTGTCATCGTGCTTGAAACGAGGGGAAGCTACTTCAACACTTCAACGTTTAGCCCACAGTTGAGAAATATATAAGAGCAGTGCCAATTGCAGAGCAATTATACTTTTATTTGCCTGTATTTATTTGATCAGCAAGTACATGTTAAAAGCGAACAGCGTGATTAATTTTACAAGTTAAAATTAAACATAAACGATTGGGACTGAATGATTAGGCCACAGGTAAATCAATTCGCATTCATCAACAAATAAAAACGTAAAGGTGTTGATGTGCAAAATGAATTTTTTCCTAAGGCGGTTTGACACATGTACAGTCATGAAAATATTAATCGTTTTTTTGTCGCTGAATTGTAAATGGAAATATATATAATACTAGAATATAATATTTACTTTTGCCAGTAACTTCTTACGCAGGCGAGTGAAAATCTGCATTGACCTTGCAGAGCCATTTACTGATAAAAACCATCCTTTCTGCGCTTTTCTTGATTACTTCCTGATAAATTGAACTTACGTCATATACAACTATGAACCTATTTTGCATTTCATTTATATAACTATTATTCACAATTTGATTGAATTATTTTGGAGTGTTGTCACGCGGCGTCCTGTATGCCCTTAAAAGAATCGCGACAAACTCTTTCGACGCCTCAACTTTGTTGCCAATTCGAAGGTAAACAATTTTGCCGGAGCCTCCGTAAACAGTTTGACATGAGGTGTCAATGTTGCGTGCGGGCCTTCGTGAATTATCTTTGAGAAGGGAGATTGAAAAGAATCTTTCAACGGAGACTGTGCAGTATACGGTAAGGTAGCATATTCTATTTTAATAAGCGTATCACTATGTTTACTTATTTTGTTTACGTAGGTAGGGTGCTTAAACTCACAGAAAACTGTCGTATTTTCAATGCTGGGCTTCTTGATTATTTGTGAAACATTTACAATGATAAAGACATAATTTTGCACAATTTTTCGCTCTAATTTGATGAATTTTACTAAACATACAGAAAATAAAACTATGGATAAATTGAGGTAAGTTGCCCATAATTTGAAACTTTAGACAATATGATAATTACAAAAAAAAAACTTGAATTAAGTAGTATTTTTCTTCAATAAATGTAGCATCTCAATTCCTTTGCGAGTCAATGGGTATTTCCTGATGTCAAATTATTTTCTTCCAGCTCTATAGACCCTCTATTACGTGTTCAATTTTCCTTCTATATTTGGATGTCGAAAAGGGATCATAATGAAATACTAAAAACAAGTTGCATTTTAATATGAATTTCGTAGCAAAAGTGCGAAATACAGTCGTGCGTAACTGCGTGTATTTTTCATGATTTGATCGCTTGATTTTTCTCGGTTGAACTTTTACCTTTAATCAATATTTCCTCTCGTCAGGCGGCTGTTGGAAGCAAGTTTCCAAGTCACTTTGCTTGGCGCTGGCGTCGTCTATCTCCTGGTAATCGCTGGGTTTGTCTCTGATCTCTGGAATGAAATCGGCCATGGAATTCCAGAAATTACGTTTTGCGAGGCCGTGCTGATGCTAGGAATAATACTTACCCCTGTTACGTGGTTGGGGTCTCCGAAAGATTTCTGGTGAGTTGCTAGGAATGTGTAAAATATATATGAACAAAAAAAATGTTTATGGTTGATACTAAATAAAAAAAAGGAGAGAGTTATTGATCCCCGAAAGTTATTTATCCCCGTCCCATTAATTGAAGAATGGAGAGGTTATTACTCATAAAATCAGAATTTCATTTAATCAATGTCTGCAAAAAGAAAACCACTCGCGACTGTTTAAGTTTTTCAAAGACAGTGAAACATAATGGGAGACCACATGAGGTAAAAGAGTTATGTAGTGTGTTAATGTTTTTTTAGAGAATTGTTTAGGCATGCAGATTTTGTCATTAGTTACGATAATTATTGAGTGAATGGTGATTCCTCATCAACCTGGGTTGATGGAAGTTTTTAACTACAGTCATTAAATATTCGGAAGATGCCTTCCTATTGATTAGGCCGATATCACAATAATGACATATTAAAATGTTTTACCTTCCATTTAATTGTTTGCGTGAACTGCAGCCCAGGCTCTTAAAATTCTGATTTCCACACCCATGGAAAAGTTCCATGTATTCTCTGATGATGAAAGAATATTTATTAATCATTCCTTGTATTCTACGATAATGATAGACTATTTACTCATCATTTCATGTATTCTACGATAATAAAAGAATATATATTAATCATTCCATTTATTCTACGATGCTGAAAGAATATTTATTAATCATTCCATGTATTCAACGATAACGAAAAAATATTTATTAATCATTCCGGGTATTCTACGATAATGAAAAGAGTATATATTAATCATTCCATGTATTCTACGATAATGAAAGAATATTTATTCATCGTAAAACACATATTATTTCTCATGTAGGTGGTCATCTCTGGTAGCTGTGGGTACTACCATGGCTACGTTGGTTGTCATTGTAGTTCAAGTCGTAAAGGCTGCCCCCACCACCAACCCCGTGTACACGACACCCACCCTCCAGAGTTTCTCCTTAGGTTTTGGTTCAATTTTGTTTTCATTGGGAGGAGCATCTATGTTTCCTGCCATTCAGAACGACATGAAAAACCGAGAGAAGTTCTCGTTGAGCGTCATCACAGGGTTCGTTAGTGAGTATTGGAACAGGTCTTGTAAACCGATCAATAGAGTAGGCCGAGCATGGAGAATGTTCTTAAGGATCTAGAGACTTCTTTTAAGTTACTTCATTAGTGCAATCATCAAAATACGAAATGTCAGAATGTTTTCACATATTAAAATGTTTTTGGGCCTTCTAATGTTTTTACGAATTTCGAAGACTACCTCAAATTAGGAATATTATATTTTGGCTAAGACTTTAACTCATTTAACTGAAAAGAGGAGCTATTTAACACCAAAACTATATATGACACTAAAACAATATGACAGAAAACATTTGTTCACGAAATAATTTTTGTCAGTTAGTACTATATTCATTCATCGTTTATGCGATTGAAGTCTTCTCGAGCGTCTAAGTTTGATATTTAAAAGAGTCTAAAATCGTCGCAAGGCAGGCGGGTTGCCTTTAATTTTAAAAGAATTTTCCGCCTTGCGGGGATGCTCGGAGCTTTGGTCTCAGTTAAGATAAATAAAAGATCTTTAAATCCTTGGTAATACCCCTGCTCATACACGAATATATGTTAAGCCTTCAATGTGAGTTCCAGAGGCCAAGTCTCTGCTCCCACGAATTTCGTAATTTTAGTAGTGCTCACGAATATTGTTGAGATTAAAATGTACATTTTGTACAGCAATTTCGTACGCATATGAGTACGCACTCTCTCAATAAATACAACCCTCTTCAAAAATGCAACCATCTAAAGAATACAACCCTCTTCAAAATTCATTCTTCAAAAATGCAACCCTCATTAAAAATACAACTTTTACTCACCTGATACCTGCGCTACAATATCATCATTCGCAGTCAAATTATCATTCTAAATACGACAAATCGACGCTGCATTAAAATTACTCCTCGTTTCAAAGAAATAGTCGAGCAGATAAAAGCCATGACTTCAGCAAAATGTAGTACATGTTCAAGAAAAATATTGTGAGCAGATGTAAAAAAAAAATATTTGAATTCCATTCAAAAAATCAGATGAACGAAGTTTTATTAGTAAAATTGTGTTACAACATCAGATAATATCAGAAAACATCTTTCTGTTATTAAGGGAAATTGCATTATCTAATTATATTATTATTAGTTCATTATCAAGAGTCGGTCATAACGCGTTAATTTTACTTCAGTGAACCATTGGATAAGTGAAAATACCTAATACATTTGAAGCATACATAAGCCAATATGTCCTATGTATGTGATGAAATAATTCATTTACAATAACGATGTAATAAGATTGTAATGGTATATAATAATTAAATTTTAAAATTGGTTACAAAACGGTGCTGATGGCGAGCCAATGTTGTGTTTTATTATATCAGTGGATAAGTGAACCATTGATCCATTTTTAAAATAGTTCGCATTTCCAACACTAAAATATTTTAACAGATTGACGAGGTACGTTTCGACGAGGAGGATGAACAGAAAAAATATATTTAGGAATGTCATATAATATTTATTAAAACCTAATTGCATTTAGGTAAAAACGAATGGCAATTTAAATTATTTGTTAGGAAAATATGAAACTTTCAATCGCTTCATTGCTCTTCCACAAAGATTTATAATGTTAAAAATTGGTTCCAAATATAATTTTTGTCTTTTCCATGCTTTCACTGATATAATCTTACCTATGAATTCTGCCAACACGCATGAAAAAAATCACATGCATTAGTCCAATGTTCAATATTACGTCTGGATGTCAAATTATGAACATTTAAATGCATCCGCGAATCATTTATAAAATACCAAAGCCATTAATATAAGCGCGTTTTTCACCGAATACATTCATGATTAAAAAATATTTGAAATCGACGAGCCTGATTTGAAAGAAAAGCTGGCAAATTTGCTTGCAACTGTTCAATCACAACAATTATAAAAAATTTTTTATTAGGAATGAAAGCTGTATTCTCTGCCCCCACTATCGGTCTTTTCAGCCTGATAGAAGGGAATAAATTATTGTAAATTGCAATGAAAACCAATACTCTGAGCATATAATAATTATATTAAAAATAATTCCTAAATGAAAAATAAATTTACTATAATGTTTCGATATTTTGCTGTTTTTTTTTTGCTTTAAGTTAAAGAATGTGCTTGTTTTTGGCAGTTTATAATGTATGAACGTTGAAAATATTCATGTTACTGAGGTAATATCAAGTTCAAAATAGCTTTCTATGTGTCGTATTTATATATTTAATTCTCGATTTCGAGCCTTATTAATATAATTGAGGTATGGGAACAGTCGTTTTGCTTGCATGCGTTAAGTGAATATCAATTGCACCAATTAATTGTTCAGTATATATTCCTAATTAAGTAATTAAATTATCCTTAGCGGTTTGAACATCAGCCAATAACAACTAATGGAGTGGAGGATTTACTGAGTTGTTAGCATAACAACAAAGTGTAAAGTGACGCGCACATTTTAAAAACAAGGGAAGAGTGCATTTAAACTTTTTATACTGCACTACGGCATTTGAATATTTATGCTGTAGAATTGTTTTGTGCAGGCGTCAACGCTTGCTCAACACTCAATTTTTTTCTATTAAAAATGTAGCGTAAAAATATAGTACGATGGGGCTAGTTTAAGTTATCATTAGAATATTTAATAGGAGGTACTGATCGAAAGAAAATATATTTTAAACAATTTTCGTGTCAACGCGAGTCAACACTCAATTTTTTTCTATTAAAAATGTAGCGTATAAATATAGTACGATGAGGTTAGTTTAAGTTACCATTAGAATATTTAATAGTAGGTACTGATCGAAAGAAAATATATTAAATTTATTTTTGTAAAAGTGTGGAAAATCTTTTGAATTTCCACACTATTACGAAAATTATATTAAATTTTTATTTTTTTTTTCGATCAGTACTATTGAATATTCTAAATATAACTTAAACCAACCCCAATGTACTATATATTTACGCTGCTTTTAACAGAAAAAATTGACCAGTCCTGAAATAATTGAGCAGTTCTGGACGTGATGTATATGGCTGTGTCAGCGACCTGCTACTCCATCCTGGGCAGCGACGTGCCTACGAATATTCTGGACGTTGTAACGGGCCCGGCTGGCACCGTTGTGACGGTAGGTGACAGAACTAACGGGCCCAGCCGGCACCGTCGTGACGGTAGGTGACAGAACTAACGGGCCCAGCCGGCACCGTTGTGACGGTATCCAGCCGGCACTGTCGTGACGGTAGGTGACAGAACTAACGGGCCCAGCCGGCACCGTTGTGACGGTAGGTGACAGAACTAACGGGTCCAGCCGGCACCGTTGTGACGGTAGGTGACAGAAGTAACGGGCCCAGCTGACACCGTTGTGACGGTGGGTGCAGAAATAACGGGCCCAGCTGACGCCGTTGTGACGGTAGGTGACAGAACTAACGGGCCCAGCCGTCACCGTTGTGACGGTAGGTGACAGAACTAACGGGTCCAGCCGGCACCGTTGTGACGGTAGGTGACAGAAGTAACGGGCCCAGCCGGCACCGTTGTGACGGTAGGTGACAGAAGTAACGGGCCCAGCCGGCACTGTTGTGACGGTAGGTGACAGAACTAACGGGCCCAGCCGGCACCCTTGTGACGGTAGGTGACAGAAGTAACGGGCCCAGCCGGCACCGTCGTGACGGTGGGTGACAGAAGTAACGGGCCCAGCCGGCATCGTTGTGACGGTAGGTGACAGAACTAACGGGCCCAGCTGGCACAGTTGTGACGGTAGGTGACAGAAGTAACGGGCCCAGCCGGCACCGTCGTGACGGTGAGTGACAGAACTAACGGGCCCAGCCGGCACCGTTGTGACGGTAAGTGACAGAACAAACGGGCACAGCTGGCACCGTTGTGACGGTGGGTGACAGAATAAACGGGCCCAGCTGACACCGTCATAACGGTAAGCGACAGAAGTAACGGGCCCAGCTGACACCGTTGTGACGGTGAGTGACAGAACTAACGGACCCAGCTGACACCGCCATAACGGTAAGCGACAGAAGTAACGGGCCCAGCTGCCACCGTTGTGACGGTAGGTGACCGAACTAACGGGCCCAGCTGACACCGTTGTGACGGTAGGTGACAGAACTAACGGGCCCAGCTGACACCGTTGTGACAGTGGGTGACAGAACTAACGGGCCCAGCTGGCACCGTTGTGACGGTGGGTGACAGAACTAACGGGCCCAGCTGACACCATTGTGACGGTGGGTGACAGAACTAACGGGCCCAGCTGGCACCGTTGTGACGGTAGGTGACAGAACTAACGGGCCCAGCTGACACCATTGTGACGGTGGGTGACAGAACTAACGGGCCCAGCTGGCACCGTTGTGACGGTGGGTGACAGAACTAACGGGTTCTCTCGGAACCATCGTGACGGAAAGTGCGGTGTGTCGTGAAATTTCTGTAATAGCGCCCACATGTACATAGTATTCCGTACTATAGTTCCTATGAGTAAGTTACTTCGCTCGAGAACTAATGACTATTGTTAACATTGACTGGGCTCTTGTTCGTTCAAGACATAGAACTTCTGTTCTCCTGGCAAGTATTCTGTAAATAGTTTCTTTATGTGCAAGACCTTCACATTTGCATATATTCCCATGAACTTACCGTTTATGCTGTTTTATAGTAGTATTATTTTGTTCATGTATGTTGAGTTCTTGTTGAATAAAGCTCATGATGAGCTATATCGTCTTTGAACTAACGATCGAAAAAAAATTCAGCAATTAATCTTCGACAGATATTTCATATTTCATAGTATTTTTTGCATCGTTTATTCATGGAGAAATATTTAACCTGTTCTTAGGATCATATATAGACTTCTTATTGCTCGTTTGAATACAATTAAACAAACTCTCGTTCCCAGGTTCTGCTGCTCGGGCATTTCTTATTTGCCTTCGTGATCACCGTAAACCCATCCATGCAGAGCCTTGAGGAACTTCTTGGGGTAGCACACCGTGAGTGAGATTAGCGTATTTATTTTTATTATATTATAAAATTGCTATTATTGTTATAAATAAAACTTGGTGATCAAATGTACTGACCTTGAATTCTGATCTTTGGGTTAAAGAAAGTAGCAAGTAAACGTAATGATATTAGGAGATAAACAGCTTTGAGACATCCGATATATCGTTTCATTCACTAGCAAATTATAAGTGGTAGTCAGAAAATGAATGAATATTGAGAAGAGCAATTCATGTCTCAACGCATCAATTATTAATTTCTTTACACCAAAAAATTGCATTTTATATTTAATTTTGTAGGCATATTAACTAAAAATTCATAAATGACTGGCTAGTAATCTTTTTTCATGGCCCAAGTTCAACATTATATTGCCAATAAAACTTTTCATGCCAGCGCAAATCTACATGTGTTTATGCTGACTAGGATGCCATCCTTGCCACTTCTTCCTAGGACACTACACGAGTTGCTACACAATCTGCAGCCGCTAATGCTTGCTTTATAACGGATATTGGTTTCTGGCGAGGTTATAATGTCGCATTATTCTCTCGCAGCGTATTGCCGCAATGGCCCCGACGTATTTTTTAGGGAATCCTCTTGCAAGAACAATTCTGTGACCTCCAATGGCCCCTGGTGCAACTGCCGTCAGACCACATTACCAATAGACCTCATTAGCTTAATTAAGGCACCTCTAGCAATAGGCCCCATTAGCTTCCGACCCCATTAGCTTCCGGCCCCATTAGCTTCCGTCCCCATTAGCTTCCGGCCCCATTAGCTTCCGGCCCCATTAGCTTCCGGCCCCGTTAGCTTCCGGCCCCATTAGCTTTAGGGCATTAGCTTCCGGCCCCATTATTTTCCGGCCCCATTATTTTCCGGCCCCATTAGTTTCCGGCCCCATTAGCTTTCGGGCATTAGCTTCCGGCCCCATTATCTTCCGGCCCCATTAGCTTTCGGCCCATTAGCTTCCGGCCCCATTAGAATCCGGCCCCATTAGAATCCGGCCCCATTAGCTTTCGGCCCATTAGCTTCCGGACCCATTAGTTTTCGGTCCATTAGCTTCCGGCCCCATTAGTTTTCGCCCCCATTAGCTTCCGGCCCCATTGCCGTCTGGTCCCATTAGTACTAAACCTCATTAGGACCTAACCACATCGGCACTAGACCTTATTGTCGTCAAGCCCCATTAGTACCAGACCACATTAGCGTCTGGCCCCAATTAGCTCCATGCCCTATTACCTTCAGACTCCCATTAGCACAAGGCCTTACTAGCAAAGGGTCACATTATGACCAGTGAGAATGGTTTTATTATCTTATGGTAAATTGTTTGAAATTTATTGAATTATTCTTATGGCTTCAAGAGATTTAACTTATTGTAGGGCCACAATTATTTTTGGGTTTAACGTATTATATCAAGCATCTGCTCGGGCCGAGTTTGGTGGCTTAGTTCGTATGGGTAGTAATGATAAATGTATCTTTGTCACACTCAGTATAATCAATTCTGAATAATGTAATACTCCAAACGACAAAAAAGGTCATTTTAATCGATTAGGCTGGTTTAGTGATAACCAAGTCATTTCACCAAGAATGAAAAAAACCAAAACCGATTTCATAGTCATGTGCATGAAAAACTTCCATATCTTACTTTATTTCTATCATTTAACCATTTACTTTAATTATTTCTAATTTCTTCACCATTATCTCGCGGTTTTTTTTTATTATACCGCGTTATCCTCCTCAGCGTGATCATGGCAGGACTTCCATTTCTTACTTTATTTCTGCATTAAACCATTTACATTAATTAGTTCTAATTTCTTCCAACACATCCCGCAGGTTTTGAACTGTACCGTGTTATTCTCCGCAGCGTGATCATGGCAGGACTTCCATATCTTAATATCATAATTTATTTCTGTCATTTAACCATTTACTTTAATTAGTTCCTAATTTTTCACACATTATCTCGCAGGTTTTGGCCTGTACCGCGTAATTCTCCGCAGCGTGGTCATGGCAAGACTTCCATATCTTAATATCTTAATTTATTTATACCATTTAACCATTAACTTTAATTAGTTCTTAATTTTTCACACATTATCCCCCAGTTTTTGGATTATACCGCGTTATCCTCCGCAGCGTGATCATGGCAGGACTTCAATATCTTACTTTATTCCAACCATTAGCCATTTACTTTAATTAGTTCCTAATTTTTCACACATTATCTCGCAGGTTTTGGATTACACCGCGTTATCCTCCGCAGCGTAGTCATGGCAGGAGTGACTCTAACAGCTCTACTCATCCCGAACTTCAGTCAACTTCTCTCTCTGCTCGGCGGAGCCACCGTATCCATGATGTCTTTCATCTGCCCGCCTGTCTTTTACTGGAGACTTTGCTCTTTCACTGATCCTGTCACTGAGCAAAAAGTCAGGTAATAAAATGCCTCGGTCATAATTACTGTCATTTTGTTTGTAGTAAAAATATGTGTATGCAGTATAACATACATCTATGTTGTATAAATAAATATAATTTGGGTCACCACTTCATGATTAAATTAATTTGCAGCTTCATTTAAAAATAGATTTTGAGTTGGATAATTTAAACTCTAAAAATCAGGCATGTTTTCACATTTTTTTGAACCCGTGAATACTAGAATCAAAAATTTTCCTCAGCGAGCGTACTTCTCAAACTTCTTCTTAATTAAGATTATTGATTATAAACTTTTACATACTAGGCTGATTATCTGGACAATAAATTACTGTAGACTGTTCAATGGAATTATTCTCAAGTTTTCAAATAATATTTGTCTGTATTTTCTCCCAACTTCGCTGCTGTTTCTTTTTTTCCGAGTCAATACTTACAGTTAAATTAGACATATACGATATATTCAAAAACTTACAAATTTATATCAAGTAACTTTCTTTCGCGAAGGCAAAAAACACCGATGAAAAAATAATTCTGTGTAAATTATGGGTGGATATTCAACAATTATTTTATATTCCAGTACATAAAGTCTTCATTTTCCACCAAAGCAATTATGGTTGCTATTTACTAAAATATTTCTTTTTCCAGGACAGTTTCTATTTTACAGAAGCTGGCACTCAGTGGCATCGTGATGCTGGGTGTAGTTGGTGGCACTGCTGCCACCTACAGTGCCATAAGCGCCATCATTGGTGGCAGTAATTTCAATACAACTTGTTTCACGGCAAGTTCGTTTCTGGGCGCTAATAACTAATGCAATGGTTTACATTTCTTTTGAATTAATACATATTCCTACACCATATGAAAAAATATAACTCAGTACTCACTGCAGTGAGCGACAGAGAGCGCATTTTCTCGTCGACGAAAACGTGAAGTCACGGACGGACAGACGGACGGACGGACATGGCGAGCACAATAGGGAATTTTTTCCATAAAGAGAAAATGCGCTAAAAATTGAAGAAAATGCAACTTTTTATCATACCTGAAAAATCTCTCCTGTTCTATTTTTGCAATAACTGCTCAATTTCTGCACCAAAAAATTGCAGAAAAAATAATTGTATCTGAAAATGTTCATTTCCAAGGGAGAATTTTTTTTAGTCATAACAATTATTGATTTCAATCGAATCTGAGATAGTTCATTTGTTTATTATTTTTTTTTGTCGAATTTAAAATAGTTTCGGCTCCTCCATGCCGTAATTGGGAACACTAAATTTATAGCCAGAATTTTATTATAATTTTGATCAAAAAGAGATTAGAAGGAAAAAGTTGAAAATTTTATAACCAATCGAGGTTAAATTTTTAATAAAATTTCAATTCCGATTCGCAAATGAGCCAATGGATCGCAATTTTGCTTTAAAAACATTCGTAAATTTGATCCCGTGTGACTGATCCCGTGTGTGTAAGTTTTTTTGATCTTTGATCCCGTGTGTGTACGTTTTTTTTTATTTCATTAATACTAATGCTAAATCTTGTATTCCATTTTATCAATCCGATCATAGAAGAACTTCATAGGCCGACTGGGAAGTTTAATCATGGCAACTACTAACGACGCTTTGTTATACTATGAGGAAAAGAAACACGGGCTTAATATAGTAAAGTTACACTGTTAGAAAAAACGGTGAAAAAACGGTCCCACTGGCATTCTATAGAGTGGCCGGTCGCCACGTGAAAATAAACTGTTTCGCCGTTTTTATCAGATGTTTTACGGATTTCTAGTGTTAAATTAGAATAAAAATGGCGACACGGTGTTTCTTTTCACGTGCCGACCGGCCACTGAAACGCCGGTATAATACCGTTAACGGTAATTTTCCTAACAGTGTACTCAATGTCATTACCTAACTTTTACTGAATATCATAACCTTATTATAAGGCTTTCTTTACATGTTGTTATCAGGACTTCAATTTTTGTCTGGATTGTTGACGGTTGCCACTATTTATTTGTTTGATAAATTTTGGTTATTGAATAGAGCGGAAGAATTTTTTCAATATATTTCTTATAATTTGGACGTTGTTAAATTCTTCACTCCCAGAAAACCCAAAATTCAATTATATTTACTGGAGCCAAAAATTGTATGTATTTGTCCTATACTTGAGTTATCGCGTCGCAGAGATACGAACACATTTGTTTAATAACGTACCTAAATACGTTTTAAAACAATAATAATACGTTTTTCCATTTTCATCTGTATTTGACGTCGCAATTTCGTCGACATTTTCTTGCTCTAAATCGGCAGAAATTATTTGAATGGAAGATTCGTCTTAACATTGGGGCTAGGTTTCTGCGCTTACCTTAAATGCCTTTTCCCTAAATGCATTCACCCTAAATGCATCTATGTCATTTAATGGACGATACATCTTAACGTTGGCGTTGAGTTTCTACATTTAACTTGAATGCTTTTCCCCTAAATGAATTCACTCTAAATGCTTCGATATCATTTAATGGACGATTCATCTTAACGTTGGCGTTGAGATTCTACATTTACCTTGAATGCTTTTCCCCTAAATGAATTCACTCTAAATGCTTCGATATCATTTATTGGAACGTTCGTCTTTATCGAAAGTGGGCGTCACGTTGCTTTTACAGACCAAATAATTCCACGTAAAACTGTCGAACAGAGCTTGGCGTCGCAATAAATGTTTCGTACAAGCTATTTTCTGCCACGTGTTATTCATTTTCACTTACGTTTGCTCTCCCGGTTTCTTTGACGAAATTCTAGCACTTTATTATGTGCACTCAAAGATTTATGAAGATGCCGTCGCTCTTAAATTCTAATTAGCGCGCTTCTGTAAAACTGAAAAATATACATTCAATTAATTGATGCTAATTTGCAGATTCATAAAAATAATTCGAGCTTTTGCTTTCAATCTGAATTATAATAGTTGCTTGATTGAGAAAATTTTTCCTATGAAGAAGTCTTATAAATTATTAACAGAATTTAAATATTAGTAAATACAAAAACCTTCTCGGGTTCCAAAAAATCAGCGAAACTTATATTACAAGCATGCTTTTTCTTATTGTTGAACTATCGCAGTCATTCATTGTAATAAATATGAATTTTTCTTCCCCGTACTTACTACAAAATGTGAACTTCAGGTCATTGCACTGGCTTTCATTAAATTCCCCCTTAAGTCCAAATAGGAACCAAGTTGACTTGTAAAGTGTACAACAAGTGTGCATAGATTACCGCTTCTGTATTGAAAAGGGCAATTTATTAGTAATAAGATTTTATACCCAAACTGAAATAATGGTAGCTAATGGTATAGTTTGCGGTTAATTCCTTCACACTGCCCCAAAAATAGATCATACTCCTACTATGATTTTGTCTACGTTTTTTTAGCTTAGTCAATTATCCAAGGCAAGCAAGTGCTTCTAAGAAGACTTCTACCTACGCACACGGTAGGTTGTAATGGATCGCGATAGAACACTTCAATGCTGACATTCTAGTATTGAATGACCCCGATGTAACCGCGCGTGCGGATGGTTTTGTGTTTTCACTGTTTTGTGATAAACCGCTGAGGTACGAGGTTGCATTTATTTTGTTTAAATTTGTGATAAGAGTGCGTGTAGTTTTAGTGACTTTTATATAGTTATCGTGAAGTTAAATATAAATGTTTTTTATTCAATTGTATAGTGTGTTCCGTTTCATTTTATGCTTTTTAGTTAATTATCATTGGTATTAAATTATTGTTAGTTTACACAAAACAGAAAGGCTCCGAAGTTAGGAGAAGAGCTTTGGGAAAACACGGTATATATTTGAATTTTTTTATTTACAATTTTGTTTATTATATTATAGTTTATTATATTATAGTTATAATTTTTATTCATCTTTTATTCGCGATTTATTCAAATGTATAGGGTCACAAAAACTTGCTTTCTTATTTATTGAATAAACTTCAGCAAGGTATTTCGTTACTCGCTGAGGCATGCAAACTTACCGAACTCAGCGGCAGACTCGCTGAGGTATGACAACCGAATATCCCAGTTTATGAGAGAGCAATTATATGGTACCTGTAAATTTGATCGAAGTCCGTAAACACGATCCTCACAATTTCGGATTATCAAGTCTGTCCGTGGATTTCAGTTAATTGAACTGGACGATTGAGGGTGTCGCGAAAAAGATTTCCCAAATATCTTTAGAATATTTTGAATGCTATAAATTGACCTTTTGGTAAGGGACTAACCCTCTGTTTTCCCAATTAGAACAAATATCCATAAAATTTACTATTATGAAACAATTGGAGTTATGAAATTTAAAGTAATTAAACTATAAATATAAGATATATAATTTCGATCATCCGCGGACTAAGAAAATGGCCACAAAATCGAGGCCATATTTGCAGGGTTCCACCAGAAATTCACAGTGTGCGAAACCTCACTGACTAAATTGCCGCACCAAAGTTGAACGTATTTTTTTTCACCGAAACTAGCAAGGTTTCGGAAATGATGGGATACTGGAAATGATGGGATAGCTACGGGTGGTATGTTTTAGAAGCGCATTGAAGCGTGTGAACTTTTTGACTAAATAATATTGTTTATTCGACAATTAAACGGTGAAATTTAAAATAATTCCGGAATAAATTTTAATTAACTAAGCCGTGAAAGTATCCGAGGATAAATATTTATTGCCTAGATTTACATGTAATAAAAATAACTTAAAATAAATTAATTGCCTACTGAATTTTGTGCATTTATTTACCATCAAGAAATAATTTTTCATTTATCCATTATAAAACTATTTGCTCCAGCCAGTGTTTTTCTAAAAGTTTCTAAGATTTAAGAGTAAAAATATTATTGAAAATAAATAACTACAACTTTAAATGGTCAATCTTAAAATGTACATCAATGTACATCAAATTGTGCAACTATACACAGACAGTCGTATGCGAGCGTAAGCAATATTTTTGATATTATTCTTCGATATCTTCATCTCTCGGCAGCAAAGATGCGTCAGTATTCAGCCTTCATTATATCATTTTTTTTCCTAGTACTTGCAATCAAGAAATATTATCCTGACATCACTTCCAGAAAAATTGCTTATGTATAAAAAGCCCCCGGGACCGTTTTTGGCTGATAACTTACCATGCGACCGTCAAAAGCGGCATAAAATCCTGGTCCTAAACTGAGCTCAGTCCAGACTAGAGAGAACTGTGTCTAGAAAATTTTTCCAAACAAAAGCTCTATCTGAGTTTATGTGAATGAAAATGGAAGGTACCATAAACGAAACATATGCAAGGTATTTATCAGCAAATCGATCCCGGTGAGCGAAAGTCCAAACTGAGTGATGGACGCGATATAGTTTACGAACAAAGTTTCGTATTGAAAAACTTGATCGTTGCCCGAACAAGGAAGTAAAATTCCTGGCAGAGGAATAAGAAAACTTCCCAAACTAAACACAGTACAGAGACTGGCAAAGTTTCCATGGTATGTAAAATCTTACTCCAATCTAAGGTGTTCATTAAAAAACCGAAAGTTAACTCAACAACTATAAGTATATTTCGGCGCTGTTTTTACTCTAATTTTCTAAAATTTTCCGTTTGCCAGCTCAAAACCTTTTTTGAATCCTGCGAAGAGGGAAAGCAAAGGGGGGTCAGTCCCTAGAGAGATGCGAATCGAACTTCTCGATCATAAAAGTTTTTCGTTCTAAAGAGGAAACTCTCGAAGGAATAAAACCTAAGATTTAAAATCAGCAACCAGTTCCACTGAGTTTACAACGGGGCCGATGCAATCACACTCCAAGGGAAGAATGTTCCTTGAAGGGGGAATTTGAATGGATTAGAATAGCGG